GACACATGTTCTGTTCTGACATTGTCATGACTCAGACTTAATATCTGTCTTTGGCTAAACTCCAGGTCATTGCGTCATCTGAAAAAAAAAAAATCAAAACAAAAACAAAAAAACTTTAGTTCGCTGTTACCTGTTTCGGGTTTAAAATCTAAAGTTAGAAGTGTGGGAAAAATACTACCTTGAATCCTGTGATATTTAGCCTACTTAAAATGTGTTTACTAATTTGTTAGCATGTCATCATTTATGTTGTTAACACTCCAGAGCACTGACCCCGGGCCTTACCTGCGCGCGCTTGCTGTAAAAGATGACCGTAATCAGCGGCGGACAGCTCCAATCGAATGTAATCGCCATGTTTCACGAGAGAGGTCAGATCTGGATGAAATGTTACTAAGCAACAAGCAATTTGTTTGCACAATGTGGTCAAAAGGCACGGACACGCATCCCTCTCTGATGCCCTCAGCACTTCAGAAACTGCTCGTAGCGCGAGAAAGAAACCTTTAGAGCTGTCTAGGTTGGGACAAATGAGACAAGCCACAACTTAAACTTTGCCCATGTAAGGAGAACATATAGGCTACACCCAGATTACCAAAATAACTCTAAAGATATGGTAGCAATTTGTCCACAATGAATGATAGTATGTTGAACATTTCACCTGGAGGCCCATGTCTGAGTGATGCAGAAATGCACAAAAGCCCAAGCCTATTGAAATAATTCCACTATCCTCCTTACAATAATAAGCACACATGCCATACCATTCTGAGATGAGAAGTAGCATTATGGCTGTTCATGGCGGGGTAGAACTCTGCATGATGATGGAGACAGCTCTGTGCGCGGGTGATGTGATAAGTGCGTAAAACCGCGTGTTTCTTTTGCGCAGAGCCGGAGGACGGTGCTGATGACGGGTCTGGGGCAGAGAACGGAGGCAGCGGGAGTGAAAAGGATCAGGACCCACTCAGCTCTCCAGAAGGATCCAAACACAACACGTGCTTCACCCCAGAGCCGCCAGAGACACCGTCCCAGCAGGAGGAGGCCCGCTGTAGCACAGCCAAAACCGGGGACAAAGAGAGCAAAAGTCCCGTGAGTCCGACGGAGCAGAGCGCGCTCCTGGAGGGCCTGCCCCTCAGCCTGCGGGCCCACAGACCCCCTCTGGACGTGCTGCAGAAGGTCTTTCCGGCGCACAAACCTGCGGTACTGGAGCTCATCCTACGCGGCTGCGGTGGCGACCTCGTGGGGGCCATCGAGGTGTTACTATCAAGCCGCAGCCCTGAGGCTGGCGCACACCCGCCACACGGAGACACTGCAGCAGATGGGCTAGTGTTACCCACAAACGGACACGCGTTGGACCCTGCGCTGGGCTCATACCCCTTGACCAGTTCCAAGTGGTCCGTTGGCTCGGCCTTCCGTGTGCCGGATTCTCTGCGGTTCTCGTCCGACCCGGCTCCGGGGATAGTGCCCACGGGGCCTATAGGGGTCCCGTTGCAGCACCCGTCTTTCCCACAGCCCACGCGCTACCCCTTGATGCTACGTAACTCGCTCACGCGCAGTCAAACCGGACCGTTTGTGCACAATGACGTGACTCTTTGGAACACCGTAGCCCTGCAGCAGCACTATCAGCTCCGCTCTGCCGCACATTATGTGTCGCCCTTCTCCACGGCCCCCGGTGCACCTGTCTTTAGAGGGTCACCGCTCCTTGGCTCGGCCCGCGCTGAAGAACAGCGCCTCAGTCTGCAGGAGGACGCCGGCGCACTGGGGCCCAAACCGCTCTACTCGCCGGACCAGGACCACGAGTACGAGGAGCGCTCCGACTCTGCAGACTCTCGCATCCTCAACTCCTCGGCCTAGGACCTTGGCCACATCCATAGACTGTATGGTCAGTTTACGTCGAAATGACACTGTAGAGCATTTAGTTTTCAGTTTTTCTGCTGAGCTTGAGCCCAAATTAAAATGTGTCATCACTGTCTGTGCTGAAGATGCTTTATTGTTGCTGATATTTAATTTTAATATTGTAATATTTTTTTCAATCCAAGCACTGAATTTGCAGTTACACCCTTACATACTGCCTTTAATATCTTACATTTTACCGAAATTGGAGATTTTTAATGGTTTGTTTTCAGTCTCGTTTAGAGAGATCGGGTTTAGGCTATTACAAATTGGAATCTCATTTTTTGTTTACATTTTAAAGCAGTGTTATCTTTGAACTTGAGATTCAGATTTAATTGTACTTTCTGAATGAGCACATAATATACTATTCCAACTGCTGAATGCATGCCAGTATTGTGAACACATTCACTCTGCATGTCAAGAGAATGCCAAATAAATCAGAGCTGTCCGCAACCAATTTGTCCTAAATATTTACTTGTGTTGTTCTTTATTTTTTACTTTATTCATCCTGTTTGGTGTCACAAAATAAATAAATAAATAAAATTAAAAGTCATATTGTAACCAACCATTTTAAAGTTGCACTATGTAACTTTCCAGGTGAAGGGCATATCTCCAAAAGCTATTTAAGTTCTTACTTTACTTGGAATGGTCGACATGGTTTTAAACGCAGATTTCTGTCATTTTACGTTAAATTCTTAATAATTATCCCTGAATTTAAGTTGCTAATAATTCAAGAATGACTTGACAAACATGCACATTCATCTCTCCTTCGCAAGTCTGACCTTTAACTTGGACTGCACCCCTGCTGCTTTTCTTCATGGAGATTGATAAGTTAATGCCATACTGTGGAACATTCTAACAAAGCAATACTCCACATTCCAACAGAAAAAGTTACACAGTGCACCTTTAACAATACAAAATTATTATCACCCTTGCATTTAAGACCTAGGCTGCGTCGACAAAACAACCCTTAAACACATAAGTAGAACATTTATTCACGTATATGATTGCCTATAAACGAGGATGCTATTGTATCAACATTTTACGTGGAACATATATTTTCACCAGCATAGATAACGTCACAGTTTATGCGCAGCCTTTGGCTTTAGTGTGCGTACTCTGCCATCTAGTGGTAGTTTGCATATGAAGCCTAGTCTAAATGAAACAATCCGCTTACCTCTACTGTTAGTGCAACCGTCACTAAATGGCAAAACCACTAATTGAATAGAGCCTTCTGAAAACGCATTAATTATGAACATATCCTATAGCAGACTATCTGGGCAACAATTAACAATTTTATTTAATTAGGCACTAATTTTGACAATGGTGTTTGCGCTGAGTGTGTTTTTGTCTCTGTGTTGGATACTGAGTTATGACTGATGATGAAGTCTGTAGTGAACCTCTGGCATCTCGGAATTTGGAACTATGCCTGTGTCATTAGAAACAGAATCCATTACGAAAAACAACAAACAAATAAAAAGAAAAAACTAATGATTAAGGAGCCCATATTCAGGTAGCTATCACTGTATTTGAGCACATAGAGTTACAGAACTTTTTTTTTGAGTTTCTCAGTTAACCTTCCAGTATCCCCATAATTTTGCACCTCAGACACTATGGCGTATTCTACCCACACCCATAAAATTCTCAATAGACTATTTTTATTTTTATTTTATTATTATTATTTTTTTTTTGGTGTTTGTAACTCACCCTACACATCCATGCCAAACATCCCATAATTCTCAAAACTTTAACTGTCCCAATGACACGTTTTTGAGGAAAAATAACTTCTATAAAATGGACAATATAACAACGATGACTTATGAGCTGGTCATGTTTAACATGTTTAACGTCAGCATGGGTGAAAATGCTTTATTATTGATTAAGTTAATGTCATAAAATGACAAAAGAGGAACATTTGGTCATAAGGTCACTGAATGTTTGAATGGGCATTTAGTCCATTTATTTATGCGACTGCTGTCATTGTTGTGATAAATTAACATGTGCAGAAATGCACCTCTTGTATAGTGTAAATGGTAAGCTCTCTTTTGCTGTCCACATGTTCAGGTGGTCTGAAGCTCCACTGGGGGCCCCCTATGTGTGTCATTTGTCCAATAGGTCATCTACATCTCACTTCCACAGTGTTAATGTCGATTGTGAAAAGTTGAATTATACTCTTTGATCAAACGGGACAGTACATTCATAAAGAGGGTCCTGTCTTCGCTGCTCCTACTTTAAGTTATGGAGACACTTTATGCTGTTAAAAAAAAGAACTGATTGGTTTAGGCAAAATGTTGTGATCTATATTTTAGTATTATACGTTGTATTATATATTTGCATATTAGAACATCATTTAGAACCCTTTATGATGATATTATCTGTACTAATATTGTCTGTTCCTTACAAAAGACCAACATGTAGCCTACCTGCCACGCGTATTTAGTGAAATTCTGTCACTAATGTGCAAACCCAGAATCGTTTTAAAACTCTTATCTGCTGCCCTCTAGTGGACAAAGTATGTTCTTGCGTTTTCCGAGGTATAAGATCTTAGTTCAACAGTTCAAGTAAAAGTATCGTCATTTTATATAGCTGTACTCAAATCGTAGTACATTGTATTGGGTACAATAAAATAAAAAATAAAATAAAAAAATCTGTGAAAATAGCAACCAAAGCAGAATGTCATTTTACTGCCTTCATCTAGGAATGTAAAATAATAATAGTAAAAAATTAACTAAGATATAAGAAAACAAAATGCATGCATTGTTTTAGAATAAAAATAAGTTGTCTGAATATAAACACAAAATATGCTTCAAGTGATTTTCATCATAAAGCAGGTCAATACATCTACATTTTCAGCAGATTAATCTTATCTCAATTTTAAATTTAGGATGTTCTGAAAGAGAGTTTATTTCTAAAATATTGAGTCTGTAATCTAGTTCTCCTTTCATATAGACCCTTGCTGTCTAAAGACCTGCTGAAAGCATTGAATCATTATATATTATATTATTATTTATAATTATTGTTATTTTTTGTTCTTAACTTCCAACATCAGAGGCAAGAATGTTGTGATCAGTGAATGAAGTTTACTCTGGGTCCAGTCACAGCTGATACACATGTCCCCTTGTTTGTTGCATATTATCCATTAAATGTGAAAGGTCAGACTAAGACAAATGTTGTTGCGTCTGCTTTACTCCTCAGCCCCATGTGTTGTCAGTCCATCAGGGGCTAATTATCATAACAGGGTAACAGTGATCTCACAGGCTCTTCTGCCTTTACCCAGATCCTGTTACGCTTTATGGGCCGCACAGCGGGACACTTCCAATGAGGTGGTGCTGCTGTTTCAATCAGAGCCGCTCCAAAACACAGCCACCGTGGGAGAGCTCTCAAGTGGGTCTTTTTCATTAGACTCATTAGGCATTCGGATGTCTATCTATCTATCTATCTATCTATCTATCTATCTATCTATCTATCTATCTATCTATCTATCTATCTATCTATCTATCTATCTATCTATCTATCTATATATATATATATATATATATATATATATATATATATATATATATATATATATATATATATATAGATAGATAGATAGATAGATAGATAGATAGTCTAAGTCAACGCCTAAATCCTAAATACTAGATATGTAGTATTTCAGTGTACATTTAAAAAGTGCAATCCAACAGACTTACTAATATGGCAATTAATCATAAATAAAATAACGCCTATGCTATATTGCATCCTACGTTAGTTCCTAAATTACAGCCCCGGTCTCTAAATGTGTGTCTCACTGAAATCGTCAAAAAACAACGCTACACCTTCTACGTTTCTGCAGCGCGGAGGTTTTAGACGCAAGAAATCATTGGAAAGGAGCAACTTTAGCATCAGAGGACTGAGCTACGGCAAAGGGCACTGATCAAGCTTGCTAAACTATCTCAGAACGGGATAATTGTATGAATCCCGATGCAAGAATTCATCGTGCATTGTCCAAATGGATCCTGAATTCCAGCAAAGGTCGTCCTCTGAGCCCCCCGGAGTGAGGGCACCTCCACTGCGCCGGGTCATCGTCTCCGGGCCGGACACACACAACACGTTTCAGGTGAACATCTAGATCTCCCGTGTGCGGTGCATGCCTCCTGTTCGCTTCACCATCAAAGCATTCTTGATTTGCAAACGGCAGCGCGGGGTGGCCGCTCGTAACTCTCGCCATAAATTACTGAGAAGAGGCAAATAAAGCTGCACCTGCAAGATCTTGCCGCGTTCACTCTCAGCTCAGACGCTGCAATGTCATTTAATGTCTTGTGGACTGGAGATGGCCTATTTAGAATCAGGTCTAAGTGCAAATACACATTTTTACGCACAAATTGCACAGCTTGCTGAAAAAAAGTGAAGAAGCTAGTTTATTATTATCTAGTCTTGTAATTCTACAAATTGCCCTTTGCGTAGTAATTTAAAATGCTTGGGAATTTTAGACTAAAGGAAAAAATAAAAATTGAATGCCCCCAAAAATAAAATATGTGAAATATAACACGAATAACAGTTTGATACAATGATTTTTACTGTAGGGCCTAATTGTATCAATACTTGACAATCAACAAACCCTGAAGACTTAAGGCGGTTTTTGTTGGCCCATATTTTTTCTTATTATAGGTCACTACTAAGACAGCATTCACACACTCCACTCCCGCAAAACAGTTTTCATTTCCCATTCGGGAACAAAGGCTTTAGTCAACACGCTTTCAATGAATGTCTGCGTCGGTTTGTCAGTTGCACCGAACAAGGGCATGTCTTTCTTGAACCAGGATTCAGTCAGCGCGCAGGAAACAAAGGGACAGATCTAACTTTAAACATACCACCTTTAAATTGTTGTGCGGCACACCCTCTCCTACAAGGGGAAAGCGAGAGTTTGCATAAGTTCACCTTGAAAACAATGGACATGTGAAACTTTTACAAGCTTTAGTCTACATCTTATTTATTTTTCAAGCTAATACTGCTGAGACTCTGCATCTGTGGCTGTTGTGTAAACACGAGGGGCTAATCTTGGTCAGTTCTTGTATCACGCTGAGGACGCACTGTAACAACCTGCATGCCACCTGCGCTGTCCCACATTTGTGCACGGGTCAGATCTCTCCTAAACAACTTATTAACCACTCATATTGTTTTAAGATGTAACACTACACACGACTGTCCTCTAACTGGAGATGTAGGCTACTGCAGAAGCAAATGGCCCATTTTTATTCGTCCACTAATTTAGATGACTTTAAAATGGACAGATAAAGCTCTTTTATTTTATTCTAGTGGTTCTCCGTTTGTTTAAGCCTTGGGTTAATCAAAGTCACTTCGCAAGAGCAGAACTAAGCAAATGAGAATGATCACAGCGGGCCCTATTACGCACGTGGGAGCTGCTTGTTACTCCATTGGCTCAAAGTTGTCACGCAGCAACCAATCAGAGAACAGAAGTGCAGGGACTGAAACACTTCATAGGAGTGGCGCTCACTGTTTCCACTTTAGTGTAAGGTTGGATCGTGTGGAAGCGCTCGGGAGACTATCACCCTACGCTTGGGACTTTTTAATCACCTGGTTACGGACTGTGCGTATTCATCAGCGCGGTGGAAACGGCTGTGCGTAAAAGGTAGACTAAATATTTACATTACTTCTTATCAGCGCAATTGTTTTGAGATATGGGTTTAGACTGTTTGAGATGTTTATTTGGCTCGAATTTAATTTTACATTCAAAAATGATGAATTCGCAAATGCATTATACAAATTAGCAAAACAAATGTAGAAGCTGTGGTCCTCAGCTAACCTCGGTGGTTTTCGGTTGAGCGATGATATTCAAAACAGGATCAGATATAATCCAAATCAAATATTATTTAGGCTCACATTGTTTTTTCTTCTTACAGATAACCGGGGGGAAATACAACATGTCAGACAGCGCTGGGTGTGATTTCGAAATAGACGTGGAAAGTTTGGAGACTGAGAGCGACGACATGGCAGAGGCGCACAGCCGCCCCGGGTCTGCTCCGCTCGGGCCCTCCACGCCGTCAGAGGAGGACGGCGAAGGAGTCCGGGCCGAAGACAAACCGGGAGCAAGTGGCCTGTCTGGGGACCAGAGGAAGTTAAGCCGGACCCCTAAATGCGCACGATGCCGAAACCATGGCGTGGTGTCGTGTCTAAAGGGCCACAAGCGTTTCTGCCGCTGGAGGGACTGTCAGTGCGCCAACTGCCTGCTCGTGGTGGAGAGACAGCGGGTCATGGCTGCGCAGGTCGCCCTGAGGAGGCAGCAAGCCACAGAGGTAAGCTGCCACTACAGGACATAAAAAAGAAACCAAAATTTTCAAATGCTGTTTGAAAAGTTGCTAAATTATTCACAAAATGTATACCTTATTAAAAATGATATTTTAGGACAAGAAAGGAATATCTGGGAAGCCGCTTACTGCAGAAAGAAGGGCAATATATCAACGACACATCAGACCGTCCACCATGCTGGCCAAAAGCATTCTAGAAGGTAATTATGCTTTCTAATTTATTTGTTACTTATACAGTTGTGTTTTTATTTCTCTATTTGTAATTAAAATGATTAAATAAGACAAATATTGCTAATAGTTATGTCCTATAACCTGATGCTAAATAAAACTTAAAACAATAATAACTAAAACTATTTTCATATGATATATCTTGAACTTAGCAGAACTTAACAGATTTTAATAAATTAAAAATTTATTTGTGGCAGGATACCGTCCTGTGCAGCCTGATCCTTTCCTGAGTCCTGGCCCGTCTCTGCCTCCTCTGAGTGACCGCATGAGGAAGAGGAGGGCATTTGCCGATAAGGAGCTGGAGAGCATCATGCTGGAGAGAGAGTACAAAGAGAGGGAGCTTCTGGAGGCTCAGCCGGGGCCCAACCCTCTTCTCTTCCCTGGCAGTGTGGTGCACCATGCAGCCGAGTACAGCTCCTACAGGAGCTACTCCCCTCCAGCACACTCAGACCCTCAAACCAAAGAGCTATGCAGCTTCATGGGGCCCAACTGTTTGGAGCTGCCGGTGCAGTACCCCAGCGGCTCCAATGTGGAGCTCATCTCCTCCAACGTGAGCGTGGCCACAACTTACAGACACTACCCCCTGCACTCATCCAGAGGAGGGCTGGTCATGTGGCCCCGTGGGCCAGCTAACCTGGGCGACGCGCTGCTTTACCAGCAGTGTCTGCTGAACGCTACAGCTGTGCAGAACATGAAGCCTGGAGCAGTGTGGGAGCCCAAGCTCATGCCCACGGAGAGCCAGCCCCCAGAGCAGGACGCAGCAGCTGTGACTGCGGCCAAACTGGAAGGTTCCAGGGCAGCGCTACAGGAGCCTGTGGAGCCCAAACATAACAGCACTACAACAGGACAGAGACAGAGGGAGTGCTCTGCATTCTCTCCCCCCAAAAGGGGCTTTGCTCAGGCCTTCCCCACTAACTCGTCCACACACCACAGCTCTGTCCTGCACAAACTCAGCAAAGACTCTGTGAAACACAAAGTGAGCACTCTGCACACTCTCGTACAGGACAAGAGCAGCAGCGCTCCGTCGTGTAAGGAGCTGCTGGAGGAGGCAGCTCGGAAGTTCAGAGACTCTTGTGTTAGAGACAATGTGAAGATATCCATGTATCCCAAAGACTTCCTGTCCAAACCTGTGGGGACAAAGATGTCCCCTGGTGAGACACTGTCCTTCTCTGTAGAGGCCATCCTAAAGAGACCTACAGCGGCCGTGAGTGCAGTGTTCCACTGACTGTTTAACTGTTGCACTACAGTCTCACAAAAACACCAGAAGTCAATGCTATTTCACACAAGCAGCTGTAATATAGATTATTATGCAGAGTATTTCGAATGATTCCAGTGATTCCTGTATTTGCATGTCTGAACTTATTCCATCTCGTGTTTTCAAACATACAATTGCAGCGTTTGTACAACCAATGAATCTCTTAAGTCACCAGCTATTTTAATTTTTCAGAAAAACACATCATGAAAAAAAGAAGAAATGTTTTCACTTTAGTTTTGTAAATTTGTTTGGTTATTTTGTAGACAATAGATTTGAACATATATTTAAATACAGTTTTGGAAATTGAATAAAAAATATTTTAAAGTTATCGGTTGTTATGTTAAGTTATTATGACACAATAGGAAATCTAGTTATGTTTTGGTTTTTAAGTTCATATTTCAATGACAGATAAGCTTCAGCATGTTGGGGCAGAAGCCCACTCAGCTTGGAGTCTTTGACGCAAATGCTTCTGTAAACAGTCTTCTCATGGTGAAAGATAAGACTGATGTACCAGCGTTTATACTGGGGATGTGAGCCTGGGATAATGTTACAGTTTTCTTATTAGAAAGTTGAATTATAAATTCCATTCCCCTTTGAGGTGTTTTAACTTTCTTCATCAAATATAAATTCAAAATATATAAGTGTAATTTGTTTTTCAGGCAAACATTAAACATCATTAATCAATACTATTCAAATTAGTCAATTACTACTTTGCATAGATACAAAAACACAACATTCTCTTTTTTAATGTTTTTCCAGCTAATTAATATTGAAAATCTTTGTGAACATTGAAGAGAAAATTCTTCATCTGTAAAAGCAGATTTGAGAAGTGCCTCCACACTTCACTGGTGCCTTTACTGTCACCTTCTGTTTGTAAAAACTAATGGCACTATTACAGGTTTATGGTGAAAAATTCCAGCAGCTGCATTTTCACACTAGATTTATTACTTATTTACTCAAGTCCTTTCGCACATTTTTGGACAAACAGAACTTTGAGCATACTATGAACAATGTAACTCTTCTCTTTATTCAGCCTGTATCATTAGAAACATGGTAGTAATAAAGTGAAGTACGGTTAGGTATATGAATGGCCCCATTGTGTTTTACTGCATGTACAGCAGAGCAGTGCTAAGCAGAAGGTGAGAGTATTTGTCTGGACTAACTGTCGCTGATAAGTATCTCCAGTGTCAGTGTGTGAGATTTAACATGTCAGCACGCTGTCCCGCTCTGTCCCCCTCTGCCCCCTCCACCCTCTCCTCTCTCCTCTCCTGGGCCTTGCTCTTATCTCAGTTCACACAGTAGCAATTTGTTTAGGTAACACAAGTGTCATTTACATTTAGATACAACTTTTTTTTTTTTTTTTCATTGCTTGACATGCAAACAACAACATTAAAATATTAAATATGTTTTTAGCTAAGACATTTCTTTAACAGCATAATTTGGTTCTGCAAATTTGGTTTAACAAAATGTCTGAAACTATTTTATTATGAAATCTCTGGGCAATTTGCACTGTGTTGCAGTATAAATATATGTGCCATCTGAACAATTCAGAAAATGTGAAAATTAATTATTCATTTATTTATTAATAATACAATTTTGCATGAAAATGTTTTATAGTTAACCTGCTCATACTGTAGCCATGAAATGTAACTGTTCCTGAAAGCAACACAGCACAAACCTTGGCTGATGACATTATTAGGAAAATTTAGACTCTAAAACATCTGTATGCATCATTTATACTGCACAGGGCAATTTAGGTGTTCAGCTCCATTTAAGTCAATTTAAATGAATGTAACAATCCATTTGTGTTGTTTACTTTCCATGTACTTAATAGCATTCTTTGCTTAGAACGTGCACAGATCAGCCTTTTTGTTATGACAGAAACATAAAATCTCTGAGTCATATTTATCTGAGCCACACACCACCCACACCTCCACCCTTCTCCAGGTGTGAAAACCAGCCTTGCGTTGCCCTGTTGCCAATGTCACGCCCCTATCACTAAACCCACTGAACACTAAGAGCCTGTTAAGCACCGCGACCCTACGACCGAGGCATGGATCACACAGTGGCTTATTTTGACTGTCCACGATCAATGGCACATGCTGTGTTTTGCATAGGAAAGCAGCCAGCGTGAAGGAGAGGGCTGGTGCTCTATTCATTTTCAGGTGAGTTGTTGCTCCTCTCTACCCTCAGCAGAGCAGTGTCCCAAGCATTCCTTCTCAGCACCTTGTAATCCAATAACAAATGTGTAGCAGGGAAAGGGCTGGCACGACTTAATTACAGTGTGGTCTGACAGCTATTTAGGACCATACGGGCACATGGGGAGGGATGGGAGTGCTGATAATCATTTTATGTTGATCTAAAGCAATCATTTCACAAGCTATTTTCAATTTTAAAATGTGACATCATATACAGGGTCAACAGATTTAATTTTTTTTTATTTTAACATTTAACAAAACAAAAATAGGCAAAACAAAAGCCTCCCACAGCCCACCCCTATCTGAACACATAATATTGAAAACTTCACCGCAAGTCCAGTCTCACCAGTATGTCCCACAAAGGAGTTCACATGTAACATTTAATTTTTGAGGGAATCTTTGCCCCATTTGAAGCCAAGTTGTTGTGCTGAATTGTATTATGCTAATGGTCATACAATTCACAACATATATTAACAGCAATATAGAGACATGAATGAAAAGCTTGTTCTTGAATCAAGTTTTAGAGCTCATTGTAAACTCTTGGATTAGGCAGGGCAATCCAAGGCAAGCTTCTTTGTTGTCATTCAAACAGAATAAGAGCAATATTAAAATCACAACATAAACAAATAAAACCAAAAATAATCATGTCTGTGTAATCCCTCAGTCGTCCAGGTAGGATCCATATTTTTTTTGCCATAAATAATCAGAATCAAAAAGTTTTTAAAAGAAGGAAGAATATAATGTAACGTAATAGAAAACCTTATAAATTCATCCTTTTAGTTCATTTAGTTTAAATCAAATCAAGGAGTGAATTTAACCTGTTGTTGAACCTTTTGAAATTTCAATGTTTATCACCAGTGTTGTTGATTTACATGCACCTGAATTTCTCCTGTAAAACCTGCCTTCCTGTTCTGCAATGACCTCCTGCAGTGAAATCCTGGATCCTGAATGGATTTGCATATCTCAGTAATCGCAGGTTACAATCAAACAATATGGAAACACACAATATAAAAGGGACCCACAGACTATCCAAGCGATTGTCTATTATGATACAGTAATTGTAACTCATTTAATCATTATTAATTGAAACTACCAAAATAAAAACAGAATCAAATGATAAGAGTTCTGTGTGCTACAAATTGTATTCTAGTGTTTTGAGTCAGTTGTTGTTTGTGAGCAGTTTGCACCTTCACTAATGAGTCCAGCTTTGTCTAAGTCCCAGTTAGCACCTGTCTGTCCACTTGTTTTTGTTTTTTCAGCGGCCTCTACACTAATGCCATACATTTGTATTTCAGCAGGGAGGAGAAAGGGGCTTCAGTGCACACTTGCTACTCTCCACACTTTTCAATGACTAGTCTGTAAGTCAAAATAAACAGTAAAGGTTTAGCCATAAAACGATGAGTCTCTTTAGTATGCCCTCGGGCCCTCAGATAATGGAGATTTGTGTCCTCCATATAAGGGCCTTTGTTTTGTCGTCTAATCTGTATTTGACTTTACTTCACTGGCTTTTTGAAAGTCTAATTGTTCCATGGAAGCAGGATGATTTGCAAAGCGAAGCTACTTGGAGACTTGTCCTGTCCTCCAGCAAGGGATCATTTTGAAACATTGACGCAAGGATCAAGGAGAAAGGCAAATGCAGTCACTTCAAATCCAGATGATAGCCACATTTGCAAGTTTATGTAAATAGTTGTAAAACTTGGAGGAGCTTACCAAAGGTGAACTCTGTAAACAAAGGACACTGAAAAAAGTCTCTCCTATGTTTTAGCTTATTATGCTCTAAACTCTATGGTCACGTGTCTTGTTCCAAAGTAGTGTAAAAGTGTAGTACACAGTAGTGAAGTTGTTAAGTTTGTAAATCAATTCTTCTTCTTTGTTACATGCATATCTTGATATCGCCTGCTGTGTTTATACAAGGGTATTTGCCAGTCTAAACGTTCATGTAAATTGCATGGAAAATCACGTTGTAGAGCCTTAGACCACAAAGACTCACAGAACTGGCACTTATGCTGTCCTTCGTGAGACCAGCCCCAAAACTGCAGTTGAATGTCCAGTAAAAGAACAATTGTGTGTTGTTGCAATATTGTTTGGCCCCAGGAGGCATGACATCAGTATACAGTGATAAATGTCCACCACCTGCCTTAGACAAACAGTGTTATCAACCAGGTTAACACTTGAACACACTAATTTGCATAGACCTATAAAAGTGTAGTTAAATGTTCTGGGTCTATATGTGGCCGGCCCCATGCAAACAGGCTTGTATGTTTAAAGGCTGTCTTCTTTGGGACTTTAAAAATACAACGCCATTTTTAAAATATGGCGCAGGTGTGTGTTTGACTAATGAAAAACACAGACCACAGAGCGGAGTCGTGCTCAAGCATCAGTGCTATCACTATAATACTGCTACACTGTTATCTATTTTTTTCTGTCTATACTGAATTATATCATTTGTTATTGGTAACTTGGATGGACGGTCTGCCACCTACTTGTCTCTTTGGAAAGTCTCACAATATGGAGTCTCACAATTATAAAACTTATTTTTCAGGTGAAGTTACAGGTCAGGTTTTTGGAGAGTCGAACCCAAGTAAGAATGCATGCTTTTCAAGGCTTTGTAAATAAATTAATTAAAAAAAAAAAAAAAAAAAAAAAGCACCTACAAGATAATAAATGGACATTCCAGGCAAAAGGAGGAGTAGCCTGACTTTGAGTCTGAGGTAGATACCATCATCCATCATGCATAAGGTGGTGGGCACAATTCCAAACACTTCCCTTTATAAATAAACAGATTAATAAACGGAGTAATACAAATAAAACACAGAAGGAAGAATTAATGTATCTGCATTTTGAATCAGCTGAACAAACACATGCATGTCTTCAGTGGGGGGAAAATCACAAACGTATGGTCCAGAGACCAATCCAGAGAAATACCTAATGAAACTTATTTTAAAAGTGAAGTATAGTGTCCAGTTCTCTCATAAGCCCATGGCATGAATGTATGAAAGAGATTGCTGAGTGACAGTTCGGCCTTCCCTCCTCTCCTGCCTCTGTAGTGCTGGCTTTATAGATTTTCTCTGTGTTATGGGCTGCACCTTGAGCACAGATCTGACTCGGGAGCAGCTGTTTTTCCACACAG